GCTGCCTTGAGTTATTTATAAAAATAATAAAGGCAAGATAAAAATCTAAAAAAGCCTCCAGTGTGATGGTGGTATGAGTTAGACATGCAGAGTGCTGGCTGCTTCGTAATAATTTCCCTTCTAAATGCTCTCCAGCATGTCCATTTTCCAGATATAAAACAACTGGATGCATTCATATGTCTGTGCAAGATAAACAGCACCATTTGTTATGATTAATGTCTTTCTTCCATAAGAAGCATGAACTGGAATGGTGTATTCCATTCAGTTAAACAGCGGGGCATGAAAAATAATTATTACCGATCCAAGTCTTGCCAAGGGTCTCTGCTGCCTCCATCTCCAGGACCACGCCCAGAGCTCCCTCTTCGGCCCTTTGGAACACTCTCCTTTCCCCCATCAGGTCTGTTTTCATCTCCTGAAACAAAGCAGAAGCAGCTTCCACCATCCAGTTCTGAAACAACTACTATTATAAGGACATCTGACATAATATTCAAGATTCTGTAGATCTCCTTCCTTTAGAACAGTGCTGGCTGGAGAATTCTGGGAGTTGAAGTCCACATATTGTTGAAGTACGTTTACATTCTCTCAGGCCATATTGCCTAACTTGCTATTTCCAATTAACCTGTAAAACCTGATACATCTGAAAGGGGTTAGAAATGACTCTAAGTGCAGGATTGAGAGGCTAAGTACGTGGCAGATCACCAACTTTGGGGGGGGGTCTTTGCTTTGCATGCGGCTGCATGGTAAGCAACCATGTCAAGGAATTCCATCTGCAGAGATATGCCAAACAAGCAAGATCTATTTGGCTTCCCATGGTTTCTCAGTGAACACTATGTGGAGATGGGACGTTTGCTCAAAATAATTCATCTCTCTGCAGATCTCCTGTGAAAGCTTCCACGTTCCAGCCTTACCTTTTCGTGGGGCACTTTTGGAGGACACTCCATCTTCTGATGGCACAGGTTGGCTGCCACTGCAACACAGAGGTAATACTTGAACTGATTTGGGTATATCATAAACTCATGCTATATTAGCTCAAAGTCTTCTCTCTTCAGTACAGTTAATATAATCCTTTCAACTTGCATCTGGGGACAAATTACTGAAAAGTACACCACACAATAACAACCCCACATTTTCTGCCAGGACACTCCATCTTCTGATGGCACAGGTTGGCTGCCACTGCAACACAGAGGTAATACTTGAACTGATTTGGGTATATCATAAACTCATGCTATATTAGCTCAAAGTCTTCTCTCTTCAGTACAGTTAATATAATCCTTTCAACTTGCATCTGGGGACAAATTACTGAAAAGTACACCACACAATAACAACCCCACATTTTCTGCCTAAATACTGAAAACTTAAGGCAAATTAAAAACTTAAGGACTCAAGTGAAAGTAGACTTTGTACAAGTATCTGGAAACGCTTTCTCTAAATAATGGCTCATTATACTCCATTCATGCCTCACATATTGCTGCAAAAGAATAACAAATCTTGTACTTGTTACATAGTAGCTTGGTCTTGTAAATATTTTTAATTAAAGCTATGTTATCCCAATCTTTAACCAGAAAGGCAACTAAAGTGTCTTCAAATATTTTCTAAGATGGGAATGAGAATGGGCCAGTCTTTCAGCAGCCTTCTGGACAATCTGCAAGGGCTGGAAGTCAGGGGCAACATTCTGCACTAGTTCCACTCAGCAGATGGCTTCAGTCCATGTGTATGTGTATATCTACCCCAGACTTAATCGGAAGCAGTAGAAGTTTTGATCTTGTGCCTGGAAGCACTGAGAGTCTGGATGGGGAGAAACAGGCTGAGTCTCAAATTAGTCATAAGTGCCTACTGCTTCAGAAACCAACTAATTCTAGGACAAAACTAATCCCAGATCCTGATGGGCTTGTTCTCTCCCAGAAAGAGCTGATAGTTCAGGAGTTCCACTAGACTATCAGCTACTGCTGAAACACCTGGTGAAAGCTATGGCAAGGAGCATCTTTGCCCAGTTGTGCCTGGTACACCAACTGTGGCCCTGACAGTGGTCACTCACGCTCTCATCACCTCATGACTACCATAATATGCTCTATATAGGGTTGTCCTTGAAGACCGGCCAGAAACTGCAACTTGTACAAAATGCAACAGCCTCCATATTAATTGGGTCATGATACTTCCATACAGCACATGTCCGGCAGGAGCTACACTGATGCGAGTTTGCTTTCAGGTGTCACTTAAGCTGCTGGTGATCACCTAATAAAGTCCCCTGTGGTCTGGCACCTAGTTGTGCGTGAGAAAGTTGAAGAAGAGGGATTTGGGAGGTATATTGAAAGGACAAGTCTAAGGCAGGTTCATAGTCCCAGATTAGGCAAACCTTCATCTGTTAGGCAAACTAAACATAGTTTAGTGGCAGGGTAGGCAAATATTGACTGGCTACAGATACACTGCAGAATCAAGTCACCCCTACAAATTTTTACACAATCTTTAAAAATGTGGCTTTTTCTCCAGGTTTTGGCTAGACAATATGCAACCAATACCTGGTTCAGTTCAGCAGACAGAAGTAACTGAGTATGATTTCTAGTAGTCCAAGTTCAGAACATCCCTTCCTATTCCTCATGACTAACGCAAGAAGGCCAAGTATGTAAATTAAGTCAAGAGCTTGCAGACAGACTAAACGAATTACAGGAAACAGGAGTCTTTTATCAAAACAAACTGAAGAGCTGATGACAGCTTAATTTTCAAAGCAAGTGAGCATGTGGAAGGGGATGGGAAGCATCTTAAATCAGATAAAATACTTATGGTAATTAACAGTAATGAAACTCCTGTCAGAACTAAGACTACAGCAACAAATAAAATCTAAGATATTTTGACAAAGTTACATTTAAATTCTTCAAATATTATCAGAATTTCTTGCAGTAGCATATGCATTTATTTAATTCTTTCTGCAAATGAAAGTTGAAAGGAAGGTTTTTCATTAGATGGGGAAACCTTATTGGAAGTTTTTGTGCCATTCCTTATTTTTTTTAAAAGTAATCAACTCTAATATGTAGAAAATGTGTCAAAAATGGCTCTTTGACAAGGAGTTGCACAAAGGTTTGTAATTTTAAAAGCCAAATATAAGCTAATGTGAACTTTTGGCTCCCATGGCTCTGAATTTTTAGACTCTGTTTATTCGAGTTCTAGTTTCATTTTTTAAAGACCGAACTAGTGATTATCATACACCACCTTACGGAGATCTACTACTTCAGTTATTTTCTGATCCAGGTTAATCAATTTATTCATTCATACACTTGTTGCTAGATTTATATCCCACCTTTTACTCAGGAGTTTGAGCAATATATTTATTAGTTATATTGTGCCACAATTCTAAAGCATAACACTCTCTCCTCCCATTCTTTCCCCAACCACCACCCTCCTGTGAGATAGGTTAGGCAGAGAGAGTGTTACTGGGCCACAATCATCCTGTGAGCTTTCATGGCTAAGAGTGGACTAGATCAAGGGTGTCCTTGCTCCAAAATCTTAATCATCCCACCACAGCGGTCCCACATATTTAAGGAGATTTCAACTTAATGATATAATGGCATGTTTTTCTGCTTGGGAGAACATGACAAATGCAGCTGAATAATTAAAACTGTTTAAAGTGGCAAAATATTGTTTCCATACATTGTACTCATTCATGCTAGCAGCTCATTTTTTTTATAGTTACAGAAGGTCAGGCTGTTCTGCTAAAGAGGACAGACAGGTAACTATTTTCTGAATGATGATCAATAAGGCAGCAGATCCCAGTTTTACTTATTTACAGAGAACCTGGGTGTAGCTGCTTTACAGCAGGGGATGGAAAACCAGTCATTTCTGGCCATTAGACATGCTGGCTGAATCTGGTAAGAACTGGGAGTCCAACAATTGCATGCTATCCCCACCTGTTCTTCCATTTTTTTTTCTTTTGAAATTGTGGTAGAAATTTCTATTTCAGAAGAGTCTTGATGAAGCCACAACCCTAGCGAATCACATAGCATTTTGCCACATTTTCAAATCCATGTTGCTGTAATGCCAGTTTTTGCTTTAAAGGGGGAAAGGAAAAAAGCATAGCATTCTCCATTCTCCATATGGGTGTTTCTCAATCTTGGCAACTTCAGGATGTCTGGACTTCAACTCCCAGAATGCTGGCTGGCTGGGGAATTCTGGGAGTTAAAGTCCAGACATCTTAAAGTTGCCAAAGTTGAGAAACACTGCCCTAGACTCACCTTGTTGGGGAATGCTGATCAGAGTCAGAGCTCTGCGAGCGTGCTGTGTTGCTGCTTCGTTTCACCCAGGCATTTTCCTTTGGTGGAGGAGCTGGCATTACTTTCAGAGGAAGCTTCTCTTCCCTGGGGGTCTTGGAGGTTGGAGAAAGACTTTCATCCTCTTTGCTGCTGCTTTCATTTTCCAATGATTTCTCACTCTCCCTTCTTCGTGAGGCTACAAGGGCAGAATGGGATACAGAAGCTGAGTTTCCTTCCAAAGCCATGCTACTCAACATAGTATTGGTATAGCTGAATGTTTCAGGATTAGTCAGTATGTTTCACCAAAATGTACCATCAAGTTACCAACAGAGTTTGCAAACGCAGCGCATGATTGTAGAAAAATGTCCCACTTTGATCTTATACAAGGCATAGCAATGGATTTATTTAAAACCTAGAGCCATGGTTCCCCAAATTGTGTGCTGCAGCACCCTGGGAACCACTGCAACCACACAGAGGTGCTGTGGGATATTTCAAATCTTCAAAGTAAACAAAGTAATACTCAACATCTGTCAGACACAGTGTGAACTAGGGGTGCTGTGAAAAAATTACTGAGATACGAATGGTACTGTGAATCAAGAAAGTTTAGGAACCTCTGACCTAGACTGAAAGTTGCTGATCATATTCAATGCTTTAAAAAAAACACAGGATTTTAATGTAACTATGATTGGGAAGCTGTATGTTTACCAACCAACCAAGAAAACAAACAAATGAATCATTGAAGAAATCAGCCTAGAGTTCTCACTTGAGGTACAAATGACCAGGCTCAAATTATCCTACTTTGGACACATTATGCAAAGTCCTTGTTCTCTGGAGAAGGCTCTAATATTGGAAAAGGTGGAAGAAGAAAAGAGAAGAAAAGGACAACCAGCAGCAAGGTGGATGGACTCAGTTACAGTGGTGATGTTGGAAGATCTGAAAGACTAGGTTAGGGATAGATTGTCATGGAGAAAATCTATCTATGTAATTACTAAGAATCGACACCAATTTGACGGCACATAATCAACAAACTCTGACTGAAATCTTTATGGTTTTTATAATCAGTTTCACAAGTGCCAATCCCCAATGTTCCACTACCCTTAAAACCCTTTTTAAAGTGTGTTTAAAAAGTTTTAATGATATTGTACTTACTGTGCTATTTATTCTAATTTACTAATTGGCTGGTTTAGCTAATGGAAAAAACAGTATAGATACATGTCTGACTCTAGTGGAAGACTTAATCTAGTTAAAAAAGCTCCGCCAGGCCATCCCCTAGCAAAAAGCCAGCGCTCAATTGGATGCAGAAGCCCTACATGGCACAGGACCAGGTTATTTGAGGGAACCTCTCTCTCCCATTTGCTTCTGCTCATGCTGTAAGATCAAAAAGAATCAGCATGCTCTGAATTGAACAATTACCATCTGACAATATACAGGAAGCATGACTTCTCTGTTGCAGTGCCTGCCCTCTGGAACAGCATGCCCCAGACATTTGAACAGCCTTTACCCTGCTGTCCTTTAAATAAGCCTTAAAGAACTGGCTCTTTCCCCAGGCTTTGTGAAGAATTCCTACATCTGTTCCACTGGGATGAACATCTTCCTTTTCTGTTGTCTACCATTTCTTTGGTTTTCAATCTGCATGCCACCCAGAGTCATCGAAAAATTTGGCAGCTTTATAAATGTGATTATAAATAAATAAAACAGAAACTTCATTAAGTCTAACTAGGCTGTATATATATTGGCCACAGTCTAATAGAATATAGGAATAAGGCTAGGTGGGAACCACCCACAGTTAATTATCTTTATCACATTAAAATGGTCTGGTGTGACAATGGCATCTAACAGCAAGATGTGTCATAGCCAATCTCATCATGGGTGGGGAAAGAGAATTCAAGAAACACCTTATGAGAAAGGACAGAATGTGCCACTGTATTCTCTTCCCAAAAGTTACTTTTCTGGTTGCAGATATATCTGACCTGTGAAGCTCAATGAAATTGCCTACATTTATTATTGCAGTGGCCCTAATGATCTCTACAATAGGCATTAAGGGTACACACTTTGAAAATGATTTGGAAGAAATGTTTTGGACCTTACTGAGTGCAGCACCAACACCTCTCCACTATTCAGAAAAGTAGCACAACTTTTTTCAGATATCTGTGGCAGTTTGAAAAAAGATGGCACTGCTTTAAGGAATCAACTCATTAAAGTTAATGTAACCCATATCTGCATGGTGTCACAGGCTTAGGAGTATAAATCCAAGATGCCTTTTTAAGTTTTGAAAATGATTGGATCTAGCCTCCACTCCTTAGATCAAAGCTGTGATAGTGAGGTTTCTCCATTGACTGAAATGATTGTGATCATGCTCAAATATGATAACATTGTTTGGGACTCTTAGTAAAGGGAATTATGAATTAGTGAAGAAAAGACTGCAGGTCACACTGACTGGTCAGTGCTCATGTTAGCTTCTGCTAAGGCTCATTTCTGCGTTTGACCTGGATTTCTTGATCCTGGCAACATGTTCCCCACCCCAACAAAGATGCTTTTTTTGGCTGGACTGTGTGTGAGGTGGCCCTTTGAGTTAAGAGATTCAGGTACCAAGTAAAGGAAGGTCTAATGTCTGGATGAAAGGCTTTCTTGATCATGTTGAGAATTTCCATAAATTATACGCTAGATCACAAATGAATTAACTTATCTCAACCCCAGAAAGAACTTACAGTTGCTGCAACTTTCTAGAAATAAAAATGTTTCTCAGAAGAATTGAGCTCTAGGGTCTCTTATATTAAGGAAAGATTTTGTCTGCTTTATTGGGAACTGGAAACTGACGACACCATGAACTTGCCCCTTGGACTTGAAAGTAATTCAACATGGTATTTCCTTTGATGTCTCTTAAGCCCCTCAGTGTGGCGAAGGACTCTCAGGTGTGGCAGAAGTGTGTAGACTTCCTCTTAAGGGAGGAGCAGAGTTGCCAGCAATTGACTCTGGGGTTTGGGAGATGCTTTATTTAGGAAGAATTGGAAGCTAAGCTGCATCTAGTTTACATTTCTTCAATCTATATTTGTTCTGGGGATAAATGAATGTATTAATTCAAAAGGAAGTGGATAGGGTTCTCTGCGATGTAAGCTTTGCCAAGCATGGAACAGATCCATGCCTCCTCCTGGCTCTTACAGGTGGAGTAGATGCAGCTGGATTCAGAAGTGTTAAATGCTTTTTGAGGGAGGGTGTGATGCCACCTGCCTTGAAGGAAGAGATAGTACACCCTCTCATGTGGAAGCCATCTATAGTCCAGCTGTCTTTGATTACTTTTATCTATCTCCAACCTTCCCCTTTCAGGGAAGATTGTTGAGAAGGTGATGAAGATTCAACTGAAGAGAATCCTAAAGGAAACAGATTAGCTGAACTTTTCAGTCAAGATTCAGACCAGTCATGGGACAGGAACAGCATTTGTCACTCTAGGGGATTATCCTTGCCAGGGCCTAGATAGGGGTAATGTGTCCCTCCTGGCCCTTTTGGAGTTCTTGGCTGTTTTCAGTACCACCAACCAGAGTCTAGGAATGGTTCTTTTGCTCATCAAGACCCCAGAAAGAATGGAAAACAAGAGGAAAGAAGACAAGAACTAGCAGAGCTTTGGGGGGGGGGGTGTGGATAGCAAAAACAAGAACCTTACAAGAAATCCTTCAGGAGATATTTCTACAGCAGAAGCACCCTACACACACAGGATACACACATATCCTGGACAAAAAGAAATAACAGAGCTAAGAGCAAAGATTTACATCACGTGAATCCTACCTTTTGATGGACCTACCCCCATCCAAACAATCCATGTGCTTCCAAATCTGTATGCACATATTTATCATATCATTCGACTGAATCTCAATCCTCAATCCACATGGTAGGACTGGCTATAGTCAGAACAAGCGACAGGGCTTTCCAGAAAGAGACAGGTCTATCTCTGGGCCACTAATATTTTGATTACTTACTTCTTCCTGTTGGGCCAGTCCCCACAGATGGGGTTGTGCTGCCAGTCTGTGAGGATTCGCTTCCTGTCCGTGACCGCTCTTGATTCTCTTCACTACGCCAGCTAGGATGTCTATAGCACGTACGGAGAAACAAAATCCGACTAAGTAGGGTGCACTTTCAGGTCTTTGTTACAAAACTGGCCCCCAAAGAGCCAAGATGCTAACTTCTGATGCCTATCACAGCAAATAATTTTTCAAGGCAAGTTAAAGACATGGGGCTGTTCAGGATAAACAGATGTAGTTACTTGGCAATATTTGACGAACTGAAGGCAAATATATGTAGCGCCATTTGCAAGAGTGTCATCCTAAGCCTGAATCACAGAGGCTTCATTTTTGGAAACTATTGTTTTCTCTGCAGAGAACCTAGCCCTCTGCTGCTCACCGTTCCCGGGGCCGTCTGTCTAGCCTGGGTTTATCATCTTCCAGTTGGCGCTGCAATTTCTCTTGTTCCTTCTGTAGCCTTTCTTCTACTTCACGCTCTCTTGCAGCAGTGTCCACAGGCTTGGCTCCTCCAAAGATAGAAGCTGCACGGCTAGACTGAGTCGCAGGCGCTACAGATGTATCTTCATCCTTGGGAGTGCTCCGGGGCTTCAAATTCAATTTTGGCCTCTGAGTAGGACCTAAGAGAAAAAGGGTAACATAAAGTTGAAGGAATTAATGGTATGCACATATGCACACAACACACACACGCGCATTAAAAATACAATAAAATCCGAAACAACTTGCTTCAGGATTAGGAAAATCCAACAGCACAAGACTCATGAAAATTCATATGGCTTGCTTACCTAAACAATTAGGCAAGGCTGGAGGCCACAGCGAACTTGAAAACTACCAAGAGTCAAAAGACAATCCTTCTGCAAAAGGTTTTTTTTTTTTCACACAACGGCAATCTATTTGACATTTCCCCCCTTAACTTTGTGTTTTGAGGGTAGTGTACTGGAATGTATGGGGATATATATGGGTAGGAGGGAAAAAACTGCTTGGGTGTAAGCTTAAATTCAAGATGGGTTCTCCATGCCTAAGTGAGGTCAAAGATACAGGACAACAGAACAGACTGCAGCAACGACAAAGCCTCAGCTCTCCTTTCTTGCTACTGTAAAAAAGTGTCGGGCCTACCTCTCTCATCCCGCCGGTTGTCATCCCTGTAATAGTCATCCCGCGAGCTGCTCCACCTATCCATTCGATCATCCCGCCTGTCGTAGCGGTCCTCAAAGCGGTCACCGCCACCCCTGTAATCATCGTCCCGGCGGTACCCACTGCCAAAGGCTCTTCTGCCACTGCCTGACCTTGAGTCGTAACCTGCGCAGGAGCAAAGTTATCCCAGTTCTTTCTTGCACAATAGGAAATGTGTTATAGCTAATGACAAAAACCTTATGGAATAATATTTATTTAAAGTTGTCACAAGATACTTCATGGAATTTGCTGCACCAACATTAATACAGTGATCCCTTTGTAAAATGCCTTGAGAAAAAGCATAACATGGTTATCTCGGGAAAGTAAGATCAGGGAAATGATTCTCCTTAAAAGCACATCCTTCTAAAGTCCCCGAGGAAGCTGTACACGGTCAGAACTGGACAGTAATGCTAGATCAAGATTTCAAGAGGATTTCATACACAATTTGCAAGACACTTCAAGAGGCATCTCAGGAAAGCAGTTCAAAGCAATGCTAAGAGAAAAACAATGAAAAAGGCTAAAAAGGCTCACACACAAATAATTCCACATGTTGACCAGGTTCTTACAATCATGCTAAGGCACAATGTGGGTTATTTGATTTTGTGCAAATCCAGCCAACTGTGCTTCTTCAATCAACAATTAAAACAGACCTTTAGAGCTGTATCTCACCCCACACACTGAATCACTCCACCTTGGAGACAAACCAATGGTCCTACCATCACCAGAGGCGAGGAAAGAATCAAGACTCAGAAGTAATCATCCCTTATTTACTTATACATCTTATATATCCCTGACCAATAGAACAGCAAATGAGAGGGTGTGACAAAATGCCATTGTGCAGGAATGACCAAGACTCATCATGTAGGAAGTATTTGCAAACATAAGTATGGCTCCTTTCAGCTCCAGAGCAACAAATGATTGATTCTGAGCCTCCAAGGTCACATTTTCTCCATAAGTTTTCTGCATCTCACATCCAAACTCCAAGTATGCTCACTTTCAGTGGAGAAATGCCTCTAAAGTCCCCTATGATCTATACACAAATTAGGGTAAACATGAATAATTTTGTGCCAGAGAAATGCAGGAGAATATAGAAATGTAAAAGCTATACAATACAGCTGGTATGAAAATTAAGATGCCTACATAAGACTCCATCTAAGCCCCAACCCCAGAATGAAGTCAGCCAATTACAGTACCTCCCCTGTCATAATCTCTACGATCATCATAACGGTCTCGGCCTCCATAGCGATCCATCTCTCTTCGGGGACCATCACGGTACCGATCTGAATCATAGCGATCACGGTCCCGATATCCTAAGAGAGAAAATAAGTTTTAACACACACACACACACACACAAAAGAAACACAGAGTGATGATTTTCATAAAAGCATTCAACTTACTGGGCAGTAAGGAGGCAGGCTTCAGGCTCTATCAGTGATCGCTTTCTTATGTATTAAATTTATATCCCAGCTTTGTGTTTATACAATACATTCAAGGCAACTTGTAGCAATTAAAAAAATACAAATTATAAGGCATAATAAAAATACAATTAAAATGCATAATTAAAAGCAGCATGATTAAAATCAATGCAAATGTTTGACGAAAAGGATTTTTTTGCCATTTCCCTCCCTGTTGGGAGATTGGAAGCCCAACAGCTGACTTTTTTGAGTTACAGCACTTTAGTGAGAAACAATGCTGTTCCATTTCATACAGTGAGAAAGCACTTGCATTTGGACTCTACTGAACCCCAAAGGTATATGGTGAAAACAGGATTTGGCTTGCTTCCATAAAATGATTAAACTTTATTAGATACCCTGGAAAAAAGAATTCCAGTTATGAGTAGCCTCTCACCATGCTTTTAATTGCCAGACACAGTATACAAATTGCTCTAAGCAGTCTTGATCAGATGTGTAAAATTGTACTATTTAGTATTTCTATATTGCTTTTAAATGCTTATGCTGCAATTACAGGTAGTCTTCGAGTTATGACCATTTGTTCAGCAACCGTTCGAAATTATGGCAGCACTGAACAAATGGTACTTATGCCCGATCCCTGAAGTTGCACCACTCCCTCAGTCACATGATCAAAATTCAGGCGCTTGGCAGCCTGCCCATACTTACGACTGCAGGGGCGCTTCAACTCCCCCCAAAACACCTAACTCCCCCCCCATCTCTGCCCTTTTAGCCCCTGCACTCCACAGCCCCTGCCGCCCTGCACTCCACTGCCCCAACTGACCTTCGCTGTTTTCTTGCTCCCACTGCTGACCAAGCATGCCTGGCCTGGCCCTTTGCAAGGCAGCTGCTGGCTGCATGAGGCCTTTTTCCCAAGGTCACACGCAGTGATTTCCTCGCGACACCGTGGGAAGAAGGCCTCACGTGGCCAGGTGCTGCCTCGCTAAACTGATGGGTTGAGGTAGGTGCAGTTTCACATTGTGCTGCTGGGCTGGGGCAGCTGCAGTTTCACACTGCGGGGCTGGGCTGGGGTAGCTGCGGCTTCGTGCTGCAGCTCAGGGGCTTCTTGCAGCTCCAGAACCACAGCACACCAAGCTCCTGAGCCATGCAATTCTGGGGCTGCTTGCCACTCTGTAATGCAGTTTGCAGGGCAACCAAAAGGGCAGAGATGGGGGGGTGGAACAGGCAGTTGGGGGGAGTTGAAGGAGAGGAAGTGGAAGCCTTGGAAGAACAGAGGCTAGGGGCTGGGAGGGACCAAGCCAGGAATGGCTTAGGGTGGGTCCTTGGCTAATGACTGGTGGGATTCAATTAAGAACGGCAACAGGGAGTTCCAGGATTGGGGTTGCTAAGCAAGGTGGTCACATGACATCGCACTTTACAACTACATCACTTAGCGATGGAAATTCCAGTCCCAATTGTCATCATAACTTGAGGACTACCTATATTATGTTATGTATCAGATGTCCTCAACCCTGTTGCGCAACTGGTTATATTTGGAAACCTAAGTGCATGATATGGGTACTCTTGCAAAATAGCTACTTTGGAGGGCATGACAAAACAGTTACTTACCAGAAAATAAATTGCTGCCCATCATATCCAATACAGGTAGTCCTCGCTTAATAACTGCAATTGGAACCGGCAACTCCATTGCTAAACAACATGGTTATTAAGCGAGACATCACATGTCTGCAACTTGCAATTTTACTGCTGGCTTCTCCACTGACACTGCTTGTCGGAAGTTGGCTGTGAAGTGCGCAAATGGCAATCACGTGGCCACAGGATGCTGCGACAGTCATAAGTGCAGGGACCAGTTGTAAAGTTACTTTTGAATGGTGCTAAACAGGGCAGTTGTTAAGTGAGAACTACCTATAGCCTCCCTGGGTATTTTTTACCATCTCACTTCTGGGGGAAATGGGCAAAATTTGCTATACCACAATCACTTAGCATTTTCATTTTCTAAAAGATCCACACAGGGCCTTGTGATATTTGTAGTCTGAGTCACTTATGCCTTTAGGGGATGAATGTAGCATCTTAAATTGCATTTAGAGCACAAATAATTGTTTTCTAAATAGAGGATACTGCTTAAAGGAAAACAATGGAAAAAACAGGAAGCTGCAGTTCAGACAAAATGATGCAAACTTAATGGAGCTTGAGCATTATAAAAATACTAATCTGCTCCTCTTAAGCTAGAAAGATGCTGCAAGGGCTTCATCATGCTGCCTTATCTAAGTAAAACTGCAGTTACCTGAAAACAAGTACGAGAAAAACACTGCAGAAATTAAAGCTCAATTTGTACATTTTCAGAACCAGACCAACCAAAATAGCTGAAATGGAACCAAAATATGTGTTCCTGTCGCTGATGGAAGAAGCCAATATTCCAGCTAGTGTAGTTGGGAATATGCAAGCCTTCCAATACCAGGGATATTCCATCTTCAGTTCTGCACAAGGTTCTTCATGCAGAACTGGTTGATAATCTTGGGGGGGGGGGGCTTTCCCCACAGCTCCTACTCAAAGAATAGATGGTAGCTGTGGCCAGGATAGCCTCTGCAGTTTATATCTGGCAAGCCAAGTACAACGTCTCCTAGATCAGGAGACACTGTCCTTCGGTTGGAATACTGTCTTTGAAGATCATCTGGAAACTCCAGCTGTTTCTGAATGCAGCAGCCTGAGTGTTGTTAGAAGTTTCAAGGTTCTCCCATGTTACACCTCTAATTTGAGAAATGCACTTGTTACTAGTTCTCTTCTGGGTACAATTTAAGATGCTCACTGTCACCTTCAAGGCCTTTATAGCTTAGGACCTGGATATCTACAGAACTGCCTCCTTCTAATAGTTTCTGCCTAACCAATAAGATCTAGCAGGGTGCATTCTCCAGAACTCTTCTCTTAAGGGTTGTCATCTTTAAGAGCTTTGGAAATGAACTTTCTCAGTAGTACATTCCTTCTTTGGAAGAGCATACCTCCTAAAATTAGATTGACCCATACCTGGAGGGCTTTAGAAAGGCTATTAACACATGGCTTTTCCAAATAGCCATGGGTGGGAAACGCTTATGACTACTGAGCCTCTTCTTTTTTGTATCATTTTTTGAATGTTCCTTGAGCACTGTATTATTGTAATAACTGTAATGTAATTGGTCTTTTGGTATTGCTTTTAACTTCCTTATTATAAGAGGATATGTAAGCCTCTCCTGGAGGAAACTGTTAATAGTGCTTCATTTCTGAGAAGTGAAGGAGACTAAGGTCTGGAGATGCTGTCTCTCTGAGATGGCCCTGGTCCTCTGGAATGGCCTCCCCTGAGAAGTGAGACTGTGTCCAATTTAATAGCCTTCCAGAAGGTAGTTAAAACCAAGTTATTCTGGCTTTGGGTGAATTTTGACATCATAAGGAATATATGATGTGATTTTAATTTAACGTAACTTAAATTTTTACCTTCAACCTTTTGTTGTACGTTTTGTGGCGAACCGTCAAAAGTCACAATATGTGGTGGCATGCGCATTAAATAAATAATATTAAAACCTTAAAAATGACTAAAAGTGTGACTGCTTCTGAAGGCCATCTGATGGGGGACTAGTGGGCTTCCTTGTGCGGTTGGGTAGCCACTGCGAAAGCAGACTGCTGAACTAGATGGGCCAGGGGACCAATCCAGCAGGGCACTACCTATGTTCTTATGAAAACCACGTTAACAGTCTATAGCCCAGTAACGTATTTGCCAACAGTTCAGGGAGTCAATATTTGCTTCAGATACATGCAGGAAATTAGGACTGAGGGTTTGCAGAGCAGGCAAATCAAGAACTCACTGTCTCCAAAGCTATCCTCGCCTCTGCGAGGAGGGTAATCATCAAAATTATCTGTAGCAGGACGTGCCCTCCAGTCAGTCTCAAATCTTTCTGAATCCCGGTTGCGATCACGATCTCTGCCAAAAGAGCGATCATCCCTATCTGCAGGAAGAAAGGGGAATGACCCAATGCTTAAAGAGCACACCCAATCCATCCAATTTCAAATTCCATAGAAGAAAGTATAAGTCCTCTTAATCAGAGCAGATGCAGACGCACCATTCAAACTGAAGCATGCTGTTCAATACTGTTGCAACAAAGAATTATTTTGGACAAATGAGTGTAGGCCTCCTTCCAGCCATTGTGCATGGAGGAACAATGGAAGCAGGATCTAATAATCCCAGTGCTAAAACAATAAACATTAGTCTGGCATGGCATGAAAAAACAACTTAATGTGAACATTAACAGGCAGAAGACTGAATTGGTTTATTGGTAGCTCTAAAACACAGGGCTTCTCTACTCATTGACACAGGACTCAGGAGGCATTTATAACTGAATGATGTTCACAGAATTCTTGGAAATGGGCATTTCTAAGCAATGCCTATAACTTGTTGGTTTTATCGCACGCCACCCAGAATCATTTTGTGTGAGATGGGCAGCCTATAAATGAGGTAGGTAGGTAGGTAGGTAGGTAGGTAGGTAGGTAGGTAGGTAGGTAGGTAGATAGATAGATAGATAGATAGATAGATAGATAGATAGATAGATAGATAGATAGATAGATAGATAGATAGATAGATAGGCTGGCCAGCCAAAAGGAGGGGCTGAGCTTTGGTATCAAGAGGGTGAACAGAAAAACTGGTTTAGAAAAATGAGAACAAAAGGCTTGGTTGGAAGATTTTGGACATAAGTCTACACATGATGATTACTGTAGGAAGGGATAAGCAAAACCTGTCCTATTCCTATAATACATTTCCATATTAGCTGAATACAGGCAATCTCCAATATAAGAACAAGTTCCATTCCCAAGGTCTGTCTTTAAGTCGAATGTGTATGTAAGCCGGAACAGTATCATTGTATAATTCTGTAGTGTTGTGTAATTAACTCAAACCCTTGTGTATTTAACTTGAATCATAGTGTATTTAACTAGAATTCTGCTACAACAGGATCTGTTCTTAACTACAGGTCGTCCTTAAAGCAGACGTTCTTAACCCGGGGACTATCTGTGTATATGTCTTTCATATAAGTATAAGAAGGCCTCAACTTACTGAATCACAATGCTTACCTTTATCCTGAGCTTGATCAGCAACATCCACTCGTATTCTCCTGTTTCCTAGACACTAGATATGTAACAAAATATTAACTGTTAAATTCAAAGAAGCTGAAGTCATATTTAGCTTACACACATGGAATTACTTAGTAGTGGCCAGGTTCACACATTATGCTAAGCCATACTTGGTTTTAGCTATGCTTTAGTCAACCATTTGGTTCATACATCATGCTAGCCTGCATGTCATGGATTGCAAACCATAATGGCTTAGTTCACACATTATGCTATGTTGTAATTAAGTGCAATGTGGGCTCCAATAGCTCTAAATGTTGACCGAGTTGTGCAAGCAGAGACCCATGTAAATGTCAAGCATGTATTATTAATGCTCACATATTAGATTTCAAGAAATACAATTACGTAGCAGCTTAAAAACAAGTACATTTATTTTATTGATGCTTTTAATCCACAATATTCAAGGTGCCACATGACATTTCATTATTTTTGCTGCAATAAATAGCATGCCTATTCCTCGGGATACTGGAATTTGTCTCCCATGTTCCTGACTATAATTATAGACTTTCACTGATGCAGCTATACTGAGGATCATCACAGAAATAGGAAATGCATCAAACTAAAATTAACATGTGTTCTCTCTTGGGATCTGAGGCTCCCAAAATGCTAAGCTATAAAGTTACTTTAAACTAAATGTGGATTTGATGGCATACATTTTAAAAAGGTAAATTAGATTTTATAGAATCTAAAGGGTCAGATAGAAGGGATATGTTATGTCAAACCTTTATGTCATATCTTGGACAGAGGAAAGCTAATAATCTTATGACCCTGGGATGTTCCAAGGGCCATAAAATGTCTCTTCTTACTTTACTCTGATTCTTGTTCCATACAAGTTTTGTAAATAAGTTATATGTTTTTGGAGGCTAAATAGCTCACTGTCAAACAACAAGGCTTACAAGTATTCTGTCTAAGAAATCATCAGTGCTAGCAAAGAATGTTTACTGTCACTTTTCCATTGTCAAAAGCGATTCTGATGATGGCCAGAATTTATGCACATCATCACTTGCCAATTTATTAAGATAAAATGTATATAAAATTGGTGGTATATATAAATTGCTTGAAAAAGCCAGTATAATTGTCTGTTAGACTAAGAAAACTGCACCTAATTTCTTTACTTAGGACTCATGAGACTTAAGCCATTATGTTGTCAACCATTTTTATTCTTCATCCTGTCTTTTTAATTTGCCATGAAGAAATAAAAGTTGACATTTCCAAGTGCCAGGTAATATAGGCTTGGCTTCCATCAATTGTTTTGTCATACCACACCCCACACTCACTAACTAGTAGTGTCTTCTATACTGGTGGAAAAAGAGAAGAACAAACATATGGGAAAAATTGCATATAACCTCAACTGAAGACTGAGAGTAGTGAGGTAGCTGACAATCTTGTTCCTGTTTTTGTTTAGTATGCCTTGTGCAGAATTAATGTGCTATTCTCCACTTTAAGCCATTAACCTTATTCACAGCCAGAGATCTTTAAAAGGTATTATTTTTTTAAACATTTTCAGGATTTGGGGCTATAGAGAAATTTTCCCGGTATTTTTTTACAATACTGTGCCCAACTGAAATTTGTATCAATACTTCCTACCCCACCTCGGGGGGGGAGGGGGGGGACCATATTGGAATTTTTAGGGCATCTTGTAGAAATCCTGATCAGTTTTTACTGAAAAATATTTTCTGTCCTCCTATTTCCAATCTGCAAAGATTACTAAGAAAACAAAGTACTCCTAGAGAAGAAGAACAACATCTTAGAAATTTCACCATGGCAATCCAGATTTTGTACCTTCTGGAAAGGTTCCATACCTTCGGTATAATATTTCATGGAGCTGTGGCATGGGTGGGTGGACAATGTCCACCTAACAATAAGATTTTTAGGCACCTCGACTTAGTTTTTCTTGAATTGATTGTAAATTTGCATTATGCTTTTACCTCTGTCACTGCCCACAGTTCTTTGGGTAAATGGTAAGTATATAAGTATGTTTAATAAATGATAGATAAATCAATTTCAAATTCAAGAATCCACTATTTATTTAGAGACAAAGAAAGAGCTCAGCATTCTTAGACCTCAAATTTTATCCACTGGTATCTACAGAGGCCTGAATATCTGATTCACGAAATAATATGATGGAAAATTCTCATTGTTTCTTCTGTTACCAGAATTATGGATCACTAAAGGATTCAGTAAAAGCAGGGCAAGGATGCTTCACGCTAGTAAATAATACAGGCAGGCAGACATCATGCCCCAAACAACTAGAAAATAAAGAGCAACCCAAAACTATAAAGCACTAATGTAAACTCATTAGATGAGACTGGGTAACATCAGTTATAATCAGCCTAGTATAAAAGTAAACATTTAACCGTATCATACATGGCTAGTTATACCAAGGGTGGCTGCTCCAACCATACATGCAGCCTAGAAATGAAGAGCAAGGTGGAGTATATCTGCCTTCATATGACTGACTGATTACGTGCCATCAAGTCATTTTCGACTCCTAGCAACCAGACAGATACATAGATAGATAAGTGGTCACCTTCATATATTCCATTTCTAGTTAGGAATTTATTGTTTTTTGTACAAGAAAGTTTCACATCCTTGAGAGGGACACATGGATCTTAGTATTACTGGGTAACTTTCTGACTGAGTTCTTCCCCTATGAATTTAGACTGAATTATGCCTGCAAAATGAAGTCTTTTCTTTAAAACACTAGCCGCTACCTAAATGAAAATTTCAGAGGTTTAACTCTCGTGACTGTTCTTAGAAGTAATGGATGTTAAACTACAAGGGTATGGTTAGAGATTTTGCTTGCATCCGGCAAGTTTCAACTCACCTCTTCATTGAAGCTCAAAGCACGGAGCAATGAATCTAAGTCTTCAAACTCAGCATATCCAAATCCTTTCAACCTCTCTGGGTTATTAGGCTCTCGGGGCAAACGAACAGCACTTATCTGCAGCTAAATGGGAAAGGAGAAAATTTTCAGTAGTCGCTTTATATAAAACTAATACAATGATAGCTGCTAGCTTCGCATTTTGAGTCACAATTGAAAAGAATGCAATTGAAAAGAATTTATGGCCCCCACTCTCCTGTTGCTTAGAAGAGACGTGAGAGTGAGGGAAAGTGAGACCCCTCGCTTCATTGTGCTTGCCATCTTTTATCTTTATCTTTTATGGATTTTATTGTAATTTCTTTTATTGTTGTGAGCCGCCCGTTATTGTTGAGAGTGGACCGCATACAAGTTTAATAAATTATTACTAAATTGCAACCAAAGAAATTAATAACAGTAATTGGTTACTGGTAACAGGCAGAGTAAATCACTTGAAAGAAAGGCAGTAATGGACACAAATGCTACATTTCATTCTCTAAGTCAAGTCACTTATGAAGACAGTACTGAATATTAAGCCTTAATCAATATATTACCCCTTCAATTTTATACTTACTTTACTTTTAAGTGGTCAACACACAGAAGAAAGTGCTTTTTTCAGAAAAATATAATACATGTAAACAGGTCTTATTCCTAATTAAGCTACAAGATTGCAGCTTTATCCATTGTGTTTTAAGGGTTACAGCTGCTTAAATGTATACTGAAAGGTATATACCCACTCCTCTTTAGCAACCACAATCCATTCCAACGACTTTATTATTAATTGAAATGGTCGATAAGTGAACATGTGACTGAGAGACACCTCAAAGATGGTTGCTACCATCTCTTTCAGATAAAGTTCTCTCATGCAGCTTCGCCAGCATTACTCTCACTCCGATGGGTGTTGTTGTCAGGTGCAGAAATTTGGTTGTAAGTGTGTGCGTTGGTTGGAAAATGATTTTTTTACTACTATTTACTACCATTTAATTTGTGAATGGTTGCTAAACGAGGTAGTTGCTAAATGAGGAGTGGCTATACATCCTAAGTGATTAATTTCAGAACAGAACCATTACTAGTTCTAAAGTACAGAAATCCTGTTGTCTTTAACAGCAGATCTGGAAACAGGTCAATAGTGGTATAAAAACGATATGCCCATTTTTCCCAATTAAGCCTTGAAAGATTGCTGACTATTGAAGACAAAATAAAAAAATCATAGTGCCGCCTTGTGAACAACCCTAAATTTCAAGAGATTAACATAACTTAAGGGGAAGAGTTATATGTAGGTGACCACAACACAATAACAGGAATAAATCTTTAGATGCTGTGTGGAATTGTTTCATGTTTGCTAGACAACTATTATATCTATCTATTTACTGTGGCATCATAATTTAATGCTGTAATTCCGAATAGGTGGAACAAAACCATTAATAAAACTAATAGCCTAGGAAACCAAAAAAAAAATGCAGGCGGTAACATTTATGTTCTATCTACTATAATCAGTAGAGCATGATATTATGCAGACAACATGAAATTCAGGACCAATAACGCAAGATGTATCTTGAGTCTGTGCTGTATCTGCTACATCTTTCCCACTGAGACCATTTAAGAATTATTCTCCATTACTTTTTTTACTTTTCCCACTAGGACAGAAATCCTAATACTGCTGTTTTAGTGAACAGCCAAGTGAATTCCACCTTAGGAAAAGCTTTTCACTGTCAGCTAAAAAACAGGTTTTGTCCAATGAACTTAAAACTTCCAGCCAGCAAGATAAACACATGGAAATGGTTCTGTAAGGGAATGTCAATGAGATGTTAAGCTGTGAAGCTGTTAAAAAAAAAAGAATGCCTCCTTGTTAATTCATGGTTGTAACTTTCACAAACTGACAGAGACTCAGATGTCTTCAGTGAGCAAAAAAGCAACTGAACCTTTAATCCTTCAAAATCCAGAAATTCTCATGTGGTTGTTGGCAAGCCAGTATCCTCATTCTCAAGAAAACAGTTTGTCACTTATAGAAATGCCTTGCACAAATTATATGTGTTAACTCAAACAGATTTTTAGGAATCCTTCTGAATATTAGATTAAAAACTATGTTTTACTATGTGAATGTTTAGATTTAGAGTAAGAGGCAAATTTATTCTTCATCTATACCTGTAGTCTATAGTCTTCATCTATACCTGTAAAGTCATCTATATCTTCATCTATACCTGTAAAGTCGGAAGCTACTCTTTTTTTTCTTGTGCTTTTCTCCCCCCTCCTTTTTCCTTTCCCCCCTCTTTTCCTTGCTTTTTTTGTATTTTAACTTTTGTGGAAAACTTAATAAAATTTACCAAAAAAAGGAAGAAAGAAAACAGTTTGTCTGATAAGAATAATTTTCTCTTATTTTTTATGTTTCAGTAAAGAAAAGAAGTTACTTTTAATTCACCAAAAGATAGTGCTGTCAAAGAAACAAATAGCTAACATCCCAAGTGGGCTGTTCTAGTGCCATGTTTTCTGCTGCATTAAAACTGGGCAGATCTTGAAGTTGCCAAAAGTTTCAGAATGCATATACACAAGGGCTTATACTTTCACATGCAGTTTAAAGATTTGTGCCAAGCAACTTCTGTGGTAAGATCTATTCTGCTATTTGACTTATTCCTCTCTCTTCCTTCAAGTAATTCAGATTAATTTTTTTAGCCTAATGCAGAGATTCCCTTTCTCGGTTCATGACGTCCTTATTGTCTCAATTTTTTCATGGTGCCCCCCAGTTCCCAAACTGTGAACTATTGTACCTCAGGGTGCCACTGTGCACAGTTTAGGAACTGCGGGTCTAACCACATTTTGTGATAGGCTAGGCAACACTATCACAGATTTTCAAAAGTCATCCAGGGAATGGAGATTTTAAATCCCAATAGTGATTTTAAAGAAGGCTTTTATAATCCTGAATGTTACTAAGGACAAAATTATTTAGAAATTGAAGTTATTTAAAATATGGAAGATTTATATATTTCCATTTTTGCAATTGTTAGAATCTGGACAAATACATTCTGGGCAAGGGAAATATTTAAGTCTGCAGCAATTTAGAAATTACCTAGTATTTGCAATGTTACAGCAAGGAAGAGATTTCATCAGTTTTTTGAACACAATTCTTCCTATAAAATTACTTTAAGATAGCCATAAAAGATGGCTATCTTGAAGTAATTTTATAGGAAGAATTGCATTGTTGCCATGAGGGTTGAAAAGCAATTTAACACTTTAAATGCAGCTTCATCAGCCTGTCATTGGCCAGCATCCCCAAACAAGAGGTATTACTGTTGTCAGCTGTGAGCAGTGCAGAGTGATTATAGCAGCAATTCCCAAATGATATGCCACAAGAGAACTGCTAGTGTTCTATGAAAATAACCACTACTATAAGCCCAGTGCAACTCCTCACAGAAAAGGCTGTCTGTTGCCTCTTTTCAGCTCAGTGCCCTCCAGTCCAAATCCAGATAGGTGGATAATTCTATCTGACTAGATCATTCATCTCGTTCTTAATGCAACCTAATAAATTTCCTAATCTCAGATTGCAGCACAGTCAGAATAGTGATTTAACTACAATCTGAAAACAGCTGAGATTGTTTATGAGTTTTAAGCTTAAAAAACAAAACAAAACAGACCCCATAAAAAAGTTCAGATCTCTTTTCTTTTTATAAAAGGTTCTTGGCAATTTGACCTATACAATGAGACACATGATTGCACAAAACTGAAGAGACACTCTTAATTTACTAGTCTTGTGATTGTACAAACGATCATGGTAGCCTTTTTAGCGTTTCTACCAAAAGCAACCTCTCCAGAGCAGAGATGTTTAGATAACACTTTAGTGGACAGCACTGTTATGCAAGGGCTCTTATTGTCTCTCTCCTCTCAAAGATTGTCCAATATCTCAGAATTTCACTGAACATTTTTCCACCTTATTCCACATAGCATTAAGAAGAAATAAACATGTTGCCTGCAGGGACACTTAAGTTACCTCTTACATACTCACATTAAGTCCTCTGAAGAAATCCTTAATGGATTCTTCTGTTACATCATAGGGCAAATTTCCCAGAAAGGCAGTGTAAGGGGGTGATTTTGGGAGACGGCTTCTGTCAATATTGGGCTCCCGAGCTGCCCGAGGTGCAGTAGGCAGGATGGAACGGTCAATCGGAGGGGCTCGGTACACATCATCATCATTGCTATGCCAGGTGGTAGAAACTGGAAGAACAGTTTTGCACATTAGCAAACCCAAATTCTTTGCAAGTAGATACCGCACTGACTGATTTGTAGTAGCGCAGTCATTATGTTCCTAGGAACGGAGGGGTCACCCAGTCAAGAGCAATATTTCTGTTTACCTTCAATAAAAGACAGTTTAACATGCAAAACACAGCCCATTCACTTTCTATACTGTATTACAAACAATTTTCCTCCAAATGTCTCTCATCAAAAACACTATATAAGACCAACAGGAATGTAGAACAATTGCTGTTACAAAGATAACCAGTAAAAAGTGGGAAAACCCTATTTTTGAAACTCAGGTGTATGGTTAATTTTTTAAAAATATCAAGTTTTACTAGTCAACAAGAATGTATTAAAATGCCTCTATACATAGGCAGACTGCTTCTCTTTTTACTCACCGAGTTACAGTTTGTGAGTTGTTTCTCAGAGAGAATCCTTACCTCTCAGAAAATGTTACTATTTCATGTTCTAGTATGTTTACACAGTAAATCAAATCTAGGAAAAAAGGGCACAGGGGAATGCCAAGTTTATCATGCTACTTTCAAATATGAGGAAGGTGTAAACTTGCCTCCAACCACCTTTAAAGCTCAGCATAATATCTTGAGCATAGGTTTTGGCTACTAAGATTAACAATTTCCGTAAGGGTAGAAACTCTTGGTATCTACTCCACTTCATTTAGCCACTAGAGGGGTGCAAATTGTTTCCAATCTGAAACTCCTTATTTCAATTTCAAAGCTGTTGTTTCACTTTGAAATACGCTATTTTCAGCCGAAAACAAACTGCTTCACAGAGTATTTCAAGCTCAAAATGCTTCCAGAATAGTCAAAACAATTCAAAACAGCTGTTTTGAACTCAACACTTTTTTTTTTCCAATTTGAAATGTTTTCCATAACACTATTAGCTGCTTATTCAAGCTGCTGACAAAAATCCAGAAGGGAAGCTAGGAGGAATAAACTAACAACCTTGCCAAAAATATTAACTGGATATTCCTTAATGATGCACAGAAACTTGTCTATCGAAGTAAAACATTATTATACACTGCTAGGAGAGTTAATTTCCCTCTCACCATCTCCTTCCAGGTCGTCTGTTTCATCTGCCCAGCTGACTGGTTTTGGAACATAGGTGGTGCCACCACCACCATCCTCTGCCAGAAAGTCCGTCAGAGTCAGGGTCTTCCCCTTCTTGTTCTTCTTCTTAGCTGTAAGAAAAAGGGTAAGTTAGCACCCTTCCCCTGAAAGACCTGAAATTGAACTGCTTTTCTCAAATATGTAGTGAGTAAGATGCCACAATGCTGATCACCTGAACTCTTCTACCACAATACAAAATACTCAGTTAAGTATTAAGGAAACTGTTTTGAAACTGAACTAAATAAAAAGGTAGTTAATGTATGGCTATAAAGTTAGGTAAACCTAGCTTGGTTTTTAATACAACAAAGATAAATCCTAAATGCAGCTTTGGAAAATGGGTAAAAAAAAAAAGTTCTGAATAATTTATAGCTACTATGCCATATCTGTGCTTCCAATAAGCCTCGCCTAGAGTATCAGCCTTCAAGCACAACTAAAAGCAAGTACGGTTGCAGGGACATGCTTTCCACTCCCTTATCTGCCTTCCCAACCCTATATAAGTGGTGGCTGTGGGGAGCCTCTCCAAACTTATGCTCTTATCTGCCCAACAATGGAAGTTTGTTTGGCAAGTTAAGAAATTTGCCTGTTGACTTCTGGGGGAGGTATGACGAAATGAAGACGCGGAGCCAACCACCATGGCAAAGACCAAGGAAATGGTGAGTGGACTGGTTCCTTGGAACCTCCTCTACGTGTACTCTGGGCCACTGCTCCTTGCAAGAAGACCGCAGGACAGTGGGTCTGAGCACAAAGAGACAACAGGATCAGCTATCTTGTTCACAACTGCAGCGCAGCCTTTTAAAGGACTAAGTTAGCAAACCTCATTTTGTAATCACTTTCGGAAATTGCCTATTAACCATCTTAAAGCTACCAGAGACTTTTGGAACAAGTTTGAAAAGTCTTCATCAGGTGAGTTATCTTCAACTCTGAACAAAAGAAATATTAATTATAAGCTTAAGAACTTAAAGAATTTGAAATTTACAGCAAAAAACTAAGTAAGATTTTGATCTAAGAAAGTTATAAATGGATTAAGGGTCCAGATAAATTTGGAATACTGACTTTTACTATAAGATCTTGGAATTAACTATAAAAAATAAACAGCTTCTCATGAGAAACAGATTATTTTGGCAATCCTGGCTATTGTAAGTCATAACAAAGATAAGTGACAATTTTAGAAACTGGACATGAGTGGGGACTAAAGATTCTAAGCAGAAGAAAAAAAATACAAGCCTGTTCTTGATGTCAGTTAATACTGGGACTTACAAAATGACACAAAATGTTATAATAGCAGAAATATTAGAGATATGGAATCAGAAATTAGTAACAATATCAACACTGCCAGTAATGATGTCTGCTTCTATGGACAGACTATGTCTAAAAGATGTTAATGAAGGAATGATAGATGTGGAACAAATTTTATCTGACAAGACAAAAAAAGTACCAAAAGTGGAACTGCAAATGAGAGGCCAAGAGAATGATTTGGAAAAGGATGCTTTACTGGATCTACAAAAGAAACTGGATTGAGTTTTAAAAATTAAAAGGGAAATACAAATGATAAACTAAGAGAATGACCTGGAAAATGTTTTCTGATTGGATCCATAAAAGAGGCTTGTTAAAGCCTTGAAGAAATCTGTGCAATGGGATAAAGAAGAACGGAAGATAAATCAATCCTACAATATTTGACTGAATTAAAGATTAAGACTGTTAGAAGTAAAAGAAAGGAATATAAAGTTGGTTTACCTGATCAAGGTTAAAATAGGGCACTTTTTTACTGACACCAGGATTGAAAAGTTGGTATTTTATGGATTTGCTTATAGATAAGGGATGAGGTATAGGATGAAGATATATGTTTGTAACCTTATAGGGGGTGAAGAGTTATTAAATTTATTTATACTTGTTGAGATGAAGATTAAGAGTCACTTCTTTATATATTTATTTTCCTTTTCTTTATTATATTTCCTTTTCTTTTTTCCTGCACTTTTTATTCTTTTTTCCATTCTCTTCCCTTTCTCTAAGTTTAATTTGTATTAGTTTTTACTATTGTAATTAAAATTCTTAATACAAATGATATATAAAGAAGTCATTTGTCAATTTGCAAGACTCCCTACTTATGATTTACAAACTACAGTCTTTTAGCAACAGATTTTCTACAGCTATCACAGAATTCACTGAACAGGAATAACTACATATATTCTTAGCAGTATGCAATTTCTGTAAGCATTGCAATCTTTGTTTACCTCAATGTTCATAAATGCAAGACATTTCAACTGACTGTTGACTTCCAAGGGATAAGAGAAAACCTCTTTTGAATCTGTCTACCTCAGGCCTGTACTTTTTAAAGACAGTAAAAACAAGTACATCTAGAGCATTCCTGAAACAACTGGGAATGGTTTCTATATTAACCATTTCCCATTTCTGCAAGGTTGATCAGTGTTCATGTATCTTCAGATCGTATAAACCCCAAACAACCTTATAGTTAATTAGCCAAGTCTGCAAATCATGCTAAGGCAAAACCTAACCATATTATAGCTTACCATAATATGTGCATGAAGTCAGGGAATTATAACCAAATTTGTCCCTAAGACTGGAAACCCTACATTTGTAATTGTAAAATTCACATCATATGATTTTAAATATACATTTAAAAACATGATAGAGATCTCAAGATTCAGAAGAGTAAAGGATCTGCATCTGGGTCTACAAAAGCCCAATTACTTCATGGTCCCCAGGTTGACTAATAAAAGGAATTTAACAAAGCTGTATTTGAATTTTCTTTCTGGAATTTTGAAATGCACCATTGTATCTTTCACTATAGTAGATTAACACAGAAATGAACTGAAAAATGTAGTAGCAAGGCTGAGAAGTGAGCTCAATTTATCATGCTATCAAATTTCCAGGTAGCCAATAGGAAAAAGATGATGAAAAGGAGATTGTTTATTCATTTCAAAAATGTTTGTATCATCCAATTCCAAGCCATGAAAACCCTTCAGAAAAGGCATTCTTTTAAATTACCTATTCTTGTTCACCAAGCACTCTTGCTTTCCAAATTTATATATTCATTTATTCATTCATTCATTTTATATAGCTGCCCATCTCAGACCAGTGACTAGGAGTAACTGGTTGTTGTTCCAAAATTGTTCTGGAGCAAACAAATAATATGAGCTCAGGATACACATGAATTCCCCTTCTCCAAAAACTCATCTCACAAGACATTCTACATTACAGTGTGCTAAGATTCCCTTTATATAGAGCAATGTGAGTACACACGCTACTGCTGTTGCGAATCAACAATGTAGGTATTTCCACTGCAATTACCAAGAAAAACTAATAAGGAAGCAACATTAAAGTAATCACAATCCAATGCTAATAAGAGAGTTCATTATATAACACCTTCACTAATATTTCAGGATGTCTGCAGATTCTGCTAGCTTTTTTTCTTCTTCCCTACAACAGTTGCACCCCAAGAATTCCTGTGTGAAGGGCAAGGCATTAAGCCAATATATGAATTGGATTAGCAATGCTACACAATATTTAATGATTCAGCTGTTGCTCTTGGTTCACATTACTTACTTTCTTCTGCAACCTGCATAGTAATTGGTCAGTCCCTGACCAAAGATAAACGGCATGGTTTTAAACTATTTGCTCCCTCCCGTCTCTTATTAAGAGTGTAAACCCTACAGACAACTTACAGAGTCATTTTTATTTGCCTCCATCATGCCTCCACATTGTGATAATTTCAATTACGTCATCACATTATGACTTCATGGCAAGATTGGCAGATCAAGATGAAAAAGGTGTCTTTAAGCACATGAAGAGTTGCCTTATTTATATCATATCTGTACTTTCTAGATACAAGAAGCTCTCCAAACATGCACTGCATTTCCAAAGGAGACTGGAATCCTTGAGGCCAACTGGATTCCATATTTTAAACAGCCCTGTTATAAATAGAATTGCAGGACTATGGGCTAGACTCAGAAATCAATGATAAACCACTTCTATCTGAGAAGAAAATAAGGGTAAACCATTCCATATTACTACTAGGAAAATTACATGGATGTATCTATGAAGTCACGAGGAACAAAGTTTGTCTTAAAGAAGATTTACTATCATAAAGGAGAGAAGCTGGTGCATAATATATGCTATACATACAAAGCTCCAGGTTTAATCACTGGTATCAACAGCCAGATTAGGGAAGATCTGGCTGAGACTGTGGAAAACTGAAACAAGTCATGGTAAATACTCACTCTCTCTCTCAGGTTCCAATTATAAGTGTAACATTTTCATATAGATGTGCTTAGGGGATCTAAACAACACAAATGGGTTCTTCAAATAACACTGAATAGCGTGGGTTGTTTCATTTCAGCTCAGCATATACATGAACCCTGTAATCTGTAAACCAGGATTTTTGGCTTAGTGTAATACATGAAAGGCTAAATACAATAATGGTTTGTTTGGTTTTGGTTTAAAGTGTTACGTAAGCCAAACCAAAATGTGTTTTTTTAAAGAAACCATAGCTTAATACTACATGAATTAGTTTTTTATCTTAATATATTCTTTCAACCACATTAAATGAATCCTATGAAACTGGAATCCTAATGGAACTGGAAGGGATGCCAACTGCCCCTCCTACCTTCAGCCTCTTGCATAACCTCAAAATCTGCTTTGGACAGTTTGGAAACTGTAGTGAGCTATAGGAAGGAGCATAGAAATAAAACATTATTCTGCAAATCATTTTCAACCTAAGGGAAGCAGACTCCCCTTATACCACATTGCTCTGTGAGAAGGAAGAAGCTGAACACTATAGCTTAAGGACCTTAATTACTTCATTTTTAAAAAATCTGGCCCTGTTTTGCAGGCCCATTTAGCTACAATGGTTTAGAACCATCACAACTGTGTAGCCAAAACATATGTTTGTAGTACCAAATGAAAACACGGTTCTAAAATTCCACTGTATGGTCATTTCATATCATCCTTGGGATAAACATATCAAAAACAAGGCTTAATCCTATATTCATACCATCCTTGGATAATGTACATTCAGCAGTTTGCATTCAAAACTTTTTAAAATGGAAACCAAAGAGAAAGATGTAAATAAAGGTAATTACACCTACAATGTTAACAGTATATACTTAATAGCAAAAACTACATTCTTTCAAAATCATGAGTTAATTTTAGCTATAAATCTTGTTTTAACATCTAAATTCTCCCCATGTCTTAATAAGCAAAAACACTCCCTGTTGTGAATACATCAGCTTAAACAGAAGATAAATTCATGTCTAAGTGCCCTAAGGCCTCTTCCATGCCATCCACCCACCTGATGTTTCAGACTAAGGTAGGAAAAGCTTTTTAGCATCATAGTGCACCTAAAGACTTTCAAAAAACCTCAAAATTGTCAAATTAATACTGGGCATCATCAATTTTTTTTCTTGACTTTCACTTTTATATCTCATAATGCTCAAAATCCAAGGTTCTTGAAAAGCTTCAATTGCATGCAAGTTTACTAGATAGCATCTGCCATAGTCAGATTTTAGTCCATAATCAATGGCAGCACTTACATTAAACCTGAACATGCAAAGCATAATTAAGACACTCTCCCATCCTACATTACAAATTAGCTTTTAACAAATTATCCGAATCCTAATTTTTTCCTCACCTTTCCTATTCTTAAAAACTAATCCTAAAAGCTACAGTAACATCAGTTTATACCTATATAAACCTACGTATACACCCCCCCCATACAGACTATATCTATATCTTAGCTAGCCATTGTCAGCACATATAACTGTCACTGAAATACAATACACTTGTTTTATAAAAGAACAGCTCTGTGAAACAGTGTATTAATTTTATTACCTGAAGCCCAAAATACATGCTTATTCTTGGACCCAAAACATAATTTCAGTCAGAAAAGGAACTCATTAATCATAAAAATCCAAGTTCTAAAGAGTTATAAAGCTTATCAGAATGCTTTGAACAATTTCTTGATTGGTAAATTTGGGTAAGTCAAATCTAAGGTTATAATCCATTCTTATTCAGAGGCCTTTCTGCAATACGAAGAAAGGTGCATCAACCTTTAGAAAGGAGCAAAATGCTATTTTTCCCTTTGAGAATGCAAATAAAATACTTGCTAAAATCATTAGACTAAAATACTGCTTTATATGATATACAGTAGAGTCTCGTTTAACCGACCTTCGTTTATCCGACATTCTGTCTTATCCGACGCCCCTAAAAAAAACACAATAACACGCATAAATCGGCGACGAGAAAAGTGTGCTGCTTGTTTGCGAGCGTGAGTGTACTCT